TTTATAATTCTTTGAACAAGAACAATTTCTATCTCCGATCGAAACACATTTTCGTGATGTTGTAAATTGTGATTCGTATATATTATAGATCAATTTATTTAAATCGAATTTTCATCCGTAGCGAGTAGTCGACTGACTTTAAAATAGTCTCTATAGGATCCCATTACTATTCCATTGAAATGGTAGAAGCAAGAAAGTAGGGGTGCACTTTATTTCCACCCCAATCGATGTTTCTTTCTTTAACGTTGGTTCGGTTACTCGTAATTGTTTCGAAATGGAACGTTTATAAAACAGTTTTTAACAGTGATTCCCGGAACGGTTTCGATCCCTGGGAAGAATCATACCTTTTTTCTCGTGGCACGTTCCTTCCTCTTTTGGCCCGACCTGCGACTCGAGCCGAAATCTTTTTGTACATAAGCCTGCGTTCCGTGGCCACGTGGCCCCGGAAAAAAGATGAGAGAATTAGAGACGCTCTGTCAGGTCGCAAGTCCTGGGCCGACCTTGCGTATAAACTGATTGCTCGTTTATATGCGATGTATTTTTGTGAACAGTATTGAAAGTGCTGCTAAGCTGTACAGTCGTCATATGGTGAATGTATTATGATGTACCTATAATGTACATAGATATATTTAATTAAAGTGAATATGAATTTGTGTAGACGATTCGTTTTCAACCCCCCCCCGTCACTGCGATCGCTGGTAACGTTCGGAATAATTTATCTCTTCGCAAACGGATAGAATTAATTCATAATAACAGTTCGAAATCACGGTTTACAATTTATTTACCTTGTTTTCACGTCGATAACGATTCTCGAATACGTTGTTCGAGTTAAGTGATGTAACGCGTACTCCTCTTTTTTTAGTAGTTCGTTTATGGCTACGTTTCTTAGTATCTTATCAGGAATTTCATTGCGGTCCAAAGTACAGAAAACACGTCCGTAACGAACTTCAGAAGGCCGTTGGAAATTATTTTCGCGAATGTATACGAACAAATTGCAACTCACGGTCGGAATAAACGAGCTTATCAACTTTCATTTAATCAGAGTTGCTTGAGAGATAAATCTACACGTAATGTGGAAATTAATATATGATACGTAACTCGAGATAGCGATACATCGATCAAGGTAACAATACACGAATCAAGATACATAAATTAAGATAATAATACATCGATCAAGATAGCATTGAATAATGCTGTTCATTGGGTGGGTTATTCCAAACAAATCATCAAAATAACTCTTTTACTTTTAACGATGGAAAGAAATGTTTGGGGTAGAAGCTGTTTGATTTTTATGGGGAATATTTTTTCACCAAAAGGAATAATATAATATTTTTATTTGCCTCGAGAGACAAATGTAACAATTTAGGAATTTGCGTCCTTACATCAAAAGTTCTAATTTGAGTTTGAAGTAGCAACCTTGGTCAGTGCATGCTTCAAAACAGTTTGATACGCGTGTTATTGCATTCAGAGTTTTATTTTTGTCTATCACAGCAGAAGCTTTTCTTGAACAGTATTTCATATCTTCCTTAATTGTTGGTATCTTGTTATGCACTCGTTGCTATGATTAAGTCACTATTATTGAATATCTATTACGTATATGTCGAGGTAAATATACAAATATAAATTTAAATTATCAAGTTCAGTTAAAAATGTATAAACATTTTTTTCTGTCATTAAAAATGAAAGAATTATCCAGGCGTTAGCTTCATATATATTTTTGTAGAATATAAAAGGAACATACTCCAACGTATTCTTAGCACGATAAAATAGTGTTACCTACTATAGTATTATACAGGGTGTTCGGCCACCCCTGGGAAAAATTTTAATGTGGGATTCTAGAGGTCAAAATAAGACGAAAATCAAAAATACAATTTTGTTGATGGAGGCTTCGTTAAAAAGTTATTAACATTTGAAGTACCGTCTGTACTGAATTTTTTTCTCGACAATGCGCAGGTTTTCGGGGGTATGTGTAATGACCAAAAATGATTGTAATTGACCCCCACAACCGAACATAATTTTTCCAGAATGATTTGATATTGTTCTTTTTCGTCGAAAAATTTAGGCATCTTCACGAATTTTTTTCTTGAAAATGCCTAGGATTTTCGGGGTAAGTGTAATAGCCAAAAATGATTGTAATCATGCCCTGCAACCGAAAATAATTTTTTTAGAATAATTTGAAAAATTTTGTTTTCGCCAAAAAATCTCAGCACCTACCTGAATTTTTTTATCGAAAGCGGGTAGGAATTCGAGGGTATGTGTAATGACCAAAAATGATTGTAATTGGCCCCCACGATCGAAAATAATTTTTTCAGAACGATTTGAAATTTTTTAATTTAATTTTTTAATAACTTACTAACTTATTAACGAAGTCCTCAGTCAAGAAATTGATATTCTTGATTTTCGTCTTATTTTGGTCTCCAGAATCTCCCATTACAATTTTTCCCAGGGGTGGCCGAACACCCTGTATACAGTGTTATTTTCCTAATTTTGTATTTGCATACAATTTATTTGACCGCGATAATTTACGTCCCGTTCGGGCGAAGGTAAGTTTAAAAATTCTGTGGAAGCACGAATATCTGCTAGAAGCATCTAATTAACCCTCGAGAGGTTAACACCCTGTCGAACGAGATATTTCGCTACCACAATATCCCTTCTACGGACGCTACGGACGAGATATCTTGGCGTCATAACTTCCGTTATTCCGTGCTGTGTACGAAATATCTCGCGTATCTTATAGCAGGGGACGATAGTTTTCACTTGAAAATTTGGGGTAAAAAACGTATTTATACGTTTAATCGCCGGTAGAAGGGGAAACAAAGAATACTCCTTTTATCTGAATTTTCGAACGCTGCGTATATTTTTTGGAAACGTGTCTCGGTATTTTTCGTTGCTCATTTCCACGGAAACAGTCGCTCGGAAGTATATTCCATGAAATTTTAATGCCCGTTCGCGACGCGTTTGTTCCTTTCGCGATCGAATAGGTCCGCGTTAGCATTCGCGGGGAACGAAAGACGAAAAGCACGGGGAAAACGGGTCGAAATTACGGTTTACTCCGGCCGAACAGGCGGGGGCCATCTGAAAAGTGCAGTCTATTTTGAAATGCAAAGGTTTTTTTTAAAAAATGCGGCAAGTAAATGGAATAGTTTGCACTCGGAATACGCTGGAAAGTATTCGGCCACGGGCGGATACGCGGACGTTGGTAACCGCGAATCATATAAAGGATCAAAGCGACGAATTGCATCGGAAATAAGAGCGATTCCTTTGCGGGGGAACCGTGGCTGATTCGTGTTCGCGCCATCCCTGCGCACCTACCGCGACTTATAACGCGATCACCGATACCGAGGAAGTTTGTTCGTGACGCGCGCGATGCACCGTAACCGCGACGAACTGCTTATCAAACGGATAATATGTATTGCCTGTCGAATTGAGAAAAACAAACGATCACGGTTTATTAATACACGTTTCGACCGAAGATTTAGGTCATCTACGGTACGAGGGGGTCGTATACGTTTGACCCGAGGTAGAACCAGCTTTGTAATTACCAAGACAACTTTTCCTTTCGCGTCTCTTCGTTTCAAGATGTTCATTTTTATGTAATTTGTTCTAACGATCCTTTCAGTGTTGCTCTGAAACAGTGGTTCTTGATCTACGATCCATAGATGTGGGGATTTATTTTGTAAAAAGTATTTTCATTAAAACTTCGTTTAACACTGTTCTGTAATATTTGATTCCTATATTCCATTACAGTGTTCGCGATTTAATTTGTTCAAAGTGAATTGGAAGCTTCCCATGTGCACTGGAAATTCTTCAATCACGTTGCTTCTCGTAAAAGTTTCTTTCCTTTTTGTATGTCATGCCAATAGAAATTGAAACCATCTGGGCTCGTCCAAATTGAACCTTCTTCCCGTTCCTCCAAATAATTTACAAAGTCATGCATTCGAATTGAAATTTAACGAAAGGTTCCAAAGACTGTTATACACTTCTGTTAATGGTAGAGATTGAAATTGTCATACGTTAATAGAAGTTTTATAAATTCATACATTAATAGAAGTTTTATAAATTCATACATTAATAAAAATTTTATAAATTCATACATTAACAGAAGTATTATAAATTAATTCGGAAAATTAATTTACGAGTTAAATGACTGATAAGAAATTTTAAGTAATATCTTGAGGTCATAACTAGAGGTGTTATCAGTATTTTTCATTCTTTATCGTGAGCTTTTCTGTAGATTCAGTTATCGTCTGTCAGAGCAGAGATTTGTTCGTGCTTTCAATGCTTTTGAGACGTGATGATAAACAATAATTGCTGCGGTTCTAATTCAAACATTATTAAAACATTTGAAATTATACAGAAGAGGACATATAGATTTCACGAATAAAATTTATCTTTGATCGTCTCTATTTTAAGAAATAACAACTAACATTTCCCTCTCATCATAAAACACATCAAACACTGATTATAATATTTACATAACGCAGTGGCAATCGCGTCCTCGCACTCACGATAACAGAAGATACTTCGTCATCTAACCAGCATCTTTAGAAATAAGTAAACTCTTTGCAAACAATTTTTCAAACGTTTATAGTCTTCTTATAAGCGAAGAAATAAATAAATTTATCTCTGCACATTAAGTTTAACGCAAAAAAAAATATCGAATAAACTAATAAGTAGCCATAGAAGGTCACCGATAAAATAAATAACGCTTTTAAATTCCATTTATACCGAAACCGTAGCAGGGTTATTCCAGGATTTCGTTGTCGCATTATCCAACATTTTACGAATTCCGTGGAAATTCCAAGCTCTGCTAGAATTTTTCACAGCGGCGCGCGTCGCGAAATAATTTAAACAATTCGCGCAAAGGGATTTCCGTCTCGAAGAAACCGATAGTTCGCGGGACCGCCGACAGATGGCTCCAACGGTGGCTAATTCATACATGCACGCAGCTACGTTGTGTCACGTGATATCGGTGCGATACGGCGTTACGATAGGTTTCGAGTCACGGCCGTCCGAAGTGCACGTGAGCTTCAAATGAACGGGGTCTCGTTTCATTCAGTAACTACCAACCGGCGGTTCTATTAGCCGCGTCTCGAATCCGTGTGTATATCTCCACCGAGTGCCATATACGACACGTGTCTGCATTTGACGGATCGAGATGACGCTGCAGGCGATCAAATGGAAAAACGGCAAGTTGGAAATCCTCGATCAGATACTGTTACCGGAGTTTTTCCGATACATACCCGTCAAAGGCGTGGAGGATGGCTGGAGGGTCATCAATAGGATGCAGGTGCGTCTAACGTTGAAAGTACTGTTTGAAGCTCTCTTTTCTCGCGTTCGATCGTATCTGCCTAGCATCTAGAAACGAATGTCCAAAGATTATTTAATAGCGTTCGATCGTAACTCGGTCCACGAGACTGAAAGATTTGCATCGCGACGCGTCGGCGAACGATCAGTAAGAAACGCAACGTTGAACCAGTTGAATCGTAATAACGGAAATTGTGGCGATTTAAAGCGATTTGTACGAACGGAATTTTAATTGAGACGGTTAATTGATTTAAATTGCTTGTTAACTACCGAAGCATAGCTGAATGTTTATTGCGTAAATGCACGTTACAGGAATACTCGTTGTAATTCAATCCTATGTAAATTTCTAGGTTCGTGGTGCACCAGCCATAGCCATCGTTGGATGCCTTAGTTTAGCAACGGAACTTAAGAACGAAGAGTACACGGATAAGAAGAGTCTTCGACAGGATGTCGAAGGTAAATTGAATTACTTGGTGTCGGCGCGTCCAACCGCTGTTAACATGAAAATAGCTGCCGACGAATTGATTCAGTTAGCCAATAAACTTAGTAAGGATCAGACTGTTAATGTAGCAGAAATGAAGGAGAGGTATAAAAACCTATCTCGAAGAGAGCAAGTAGATTCAATTTCAATATTAACGTTGGAAATGATGTTCGTAGATTTCTCGATGCTATAGAATATATGCGGGAGAAGGATATAGCCGATAACAAAGCCATCGGGGACTTTGGAGCCGAAGAGATCTTGAAGAATGTGTCCGGTAACAATTCTGTTAGGATTCTGACGCACTGTAACACTGGCAGCTTTGCGACAGCAGGTTATGGCACAGCTTTAGGTGTTATTAGATCTCTTCATAAGAAAGATAGTCTTGGTAACGTTTGCATGTCCATTAGTTTTTAAACATTTCGGGAGTGTTGATACGATTATACAGTATTAGTTACTATTACAGAACAGGCATACTGCTCCGAAACGAGGCCGTACAATCAAGGAGCGCGACTGACCGCTTACGAATTAGTCTATGAAAAAATCCCGGCTACCCTAATTTGCGACGACATGGTAGCAGCGCTGATGAAGTCACGATACATTTCTGCGGTCGTCGTCGGTGCGGATAGAGTCGCCGCGAATGGCGACACGGCTAATAAAATTGGAACCTATCAGGTATTATCGCCCAACGTTCTTTAGTTACTTGTAAGGTATTTCGTAGGATCGCGATTTTAATACTGTTTGTGTTTGTTTCAGATCGCCATAGTCGCTAAATATCACAACGTCCCTTTTTACGTGGCGGCCCCGCGAACCTCCATAGACTTTAGCATTCCTAGCGGTGACCATATCATCATCGAAGAAAGGCCAGTAAGAGAGATGACCCATATAAAGAACCAACAAATCGCGGCAGGTGGGATACAGTGTTGGAATCCGGCGTTCGACGTAACTCCGGCTAGTCTTATCAAGGATTTTATCACGGAAGTTGGTGTATTTAGTCCCGAAGATTTGATACAGTTGAAAAACTACAAGAACACATAAAGTGCCGATCGACTCGAACATCGAACGAAGCTTCTTGATGCATTTATACAGGACAATTAATTGGTGATCTCAACGTTAAAGAAAAAATTGTTGCCAGGTATTGTTTATTTAAGAGTTCGTGTTAAAATAAAATTGTTGGCAGGTTACGCTTATTTGAAACGTTAAGTCTAAGGGGTGCAGCAAAAAAAATGTATTGTACCGCGGGCGTGCGTGTTTTTGCATTTAAAAATGCCTTATTAACTTCGCAATGATTTTTAAAAATATATTTATACTGATGAAATATCTCGTACGAATAGTTGTATTAAAGAGAACTACCGTCGGTCCAACGGATCGCGATTACGGAAAATACAAGATAATCGAAATATATCGAACTGTCCATTTTCTCGATTTGTAGTTGAACCCACCTGCGATCAGATGGCGGCGCATACCTGAAAATTTGGATGCACCCGGCGTCGACTGTGAAACGTCCCCGACGCGTAAACAATTTAATTTTATCGCTAAATGGATACTTTATCGCACGAACAAGATATTTGTGGTTGAAATATGCGTCACGACGTCGCTTTCGTACGGATGTCTGGTATCGTTGCGATTTCGGCGGACCCGAGAGAACGTAAATAAAATTTTCTTCTCAAACGTTTTTAATATCGTCGCGTGGCACCAATATGTTTTATTACCGATGTCCACGACAGGTCGACGGCGATCGATGGAGCCGTAGCGACGGTCGGTCGTACGGCTTCGTCGCGCCATTTTTTTGCGGTTATGTTCGGAACCCCGAGGGAGCGAGCGACTCGATTCCAAACGATAACGGGCAGGCGTCGGGACGAGAGCACGGTCCTCGCGTCGAATTTATCGCGTTGTCGAACGACGAGATCGACACTGGGCGAGCACGAGCGCGTGGAGTTCCATCGGTAAAACTTGAGAATCTATTTTCGCCGTTGAAAGGCGCGCGGGAACACGGTTCGCGGCGGGTTTCTCGAACCGCGGTGCTTTAGTACGGCCAGTCTCTCCGCTACGCGCAGAACTTCGCCAATCCCGGAATAGTTTTCGGGTAGTTGCTCGTCGGGAGTTTTTTTGCCGTCGTAGGGGGGGCCAGATTACGGTCGCTTCGGGGCGTGTTTGCCCACGGATTCCACGTCGTTCGGCGCCCAGAACGTCGGCGACCCGCTAGCCTCGGTTCGAGATCGGTAACTAAAGGTTTAGAGCCCGAACATCGTGTTCGTACGGTGTTCCGATCGTTCGCGCTGGAGGTAGACACGGAAAACGCGACGATGGATGCCGCGGACGTCCTCGGCACCGACGCCACATCGCCCGACGAAGGGATTGTAAACAACAACAACAACGAGGACGATGAGGCGCCCACCGTCGAGGAAACTTACGAGGTCACAACCACGAAACGCAAGACCGTTAGGACCAGCTATAAGATCCAAGAAGTAAGTGACGACGCTTATAAGTGACACGTGCGATTACGGTTACTGGTAGGGTCGTCTCTAGCGTCCCCGCGTGGGCGTTTATTGCAAACGATCGTGTTCGCGAGCGTCTTAAATCTCGAACCGTGGAAACGACGCGTCGAGAATCGTTTCTTTTGCTCGTTTCACGTCTCTCGAGATAATCGAACCGTAGATTTAACCGGTTCGTCTCTAAAACGTAGATTTATCGGGCGGTTTCCACGGGGACAGACCGAACGCAGATTTAACGCGTTTATCGAGAGTTCCGGTACGCGATTCGTGCACGCCAAAAATAAACGCAGAATTTGTTCTGTGTGGCAGCGCGAGAATCTCTCGGTTCATTCTGATATTCGTCAAGGATAAACGGGGATTATTTCGATCGCGGATTTTACCGGGGTTTACCAACTTTATTTGGCGCGTCGGCGGGATCGGGCGTTATGCCCGACTTCGTTAACAATCGCTAAACCTTACGCGTAAACAAAATCGCGGAAACTTTCGGTCCAGCGCCCGTTCGCGTTCGCGGATGTTTCTTTTTTCGCGAGCAAATATTTTATTTTCTCGATCCGTGATCGATTTTAGCCCCCGCGCGCAATTCTATACGGCGATTAACGAACTTCGACGTGTGTTTCTTTCCCAAGTTACATAATGATTTGCGTCCGAAAATATTATCGAACGTGGGCGCGTCGTGGTGCCGGTGGAAACGCTTGAAACGAGAAACTTCTTTTCGAATCCCACCGATTGATTACGCGTTACGGCGCGGATCTATCGCGATACCGTTTGCCAGCACCCAGAAGTCTGCCGGTTTTTAGCGGCAGAACCAGTCGAATTTTTCCTGTAACCCGATAATAAGTGAACACGAGCGACGTCAGTCGTGCAAATGGCTGCGATAAAATGCACGTGCCAGTCGACGTACAAGTAAACCGGATGCCGCTATCTAGGGTCTGAATTTTTATTCGAATTTCGTTACGACGAATCGAGGAAATGCTAACCCAGACTGATAACGAGACTTAAATAAACTATAGTCTGAATAACTATAGTTCGTTCAATATACACATTCTAAAAAAAAAGTTTAAATAAAAAAAAATAAGGCAGATATATTATTGTAAATATATCTGTATTTATTGTGTAATAATAACAAAAGAAATGAATATTACTTAACATAAAAAAAATAAAATTACTATAATACAGTGCAGAAATCATCTCACAGCTAAAATCGTGCACATTAAGAATATTAATTTCTTTTGTCGTTGTTACACAATAAATACAGATATATTTATAATAATATGTCTGCCTTATTTTTCCCCCAAAATCATTCCTAAACTTTATTTTTATAGAATGAAACATATTTTCATACATGGTGCACGATTTTGGCTGTGATTCGCTATAAACACTGTAAAGTTTTACTTTAGTCGATTTTAAAAGCAATCAGTTTATTATAAAATATATACCATGCACGATAAAATGATTGTTTAAATTAACTGTATATCGAAGAGGTTCCGAACCAGGGTACGTTTATATAATGTAAACAATGCCTATTCGAACAGATATTTGTCAAAACGTTTGTTTGGAGTATATCGAGGAACACGCAAATGAATTTTGATTTACAATTAACAAACAATAGAATTCACGCGCGGGATCGTGTTTTTAAAATAACGAACGCGAGCGCAACGGTTCCTTTCGGTACCATTTAAACGGCAGAAATAGAAACAGATCGTTTCTTTCTTTCCATCGCGCATAAAATATTTCAGGCGATTCATCAAACTAACCCAGTTTCGTATTTTCTCTTTTCGCTCGGGGGCGAGTTCATCGCGGATCATTCGACGGTCCATGTTAAGGAGAAACGGGACGAGTGTTGGGCAAATTTTAATTAAAGTGACGCTTTACAAACACGATTAAACGATCACGGCGATCGACTAAATAAATCGTATCAAAGGAGCCTTTAATTGCTTGCGTCCCTGGTTAGATTCGAGTTCAAACTCTTTTCGAATGATACAAACATATTATCCCACACGAGTGCAGATACGAGATTCAACAACTTTGTTTTTGTATTATACAGAAAAGTTTTCCTCTCAGCCAAATTTCGTCAAAATGTCCCAATTTCCGGCGACCTTAGAAACTCGCGGGAGCAAAGATATTGACGTAAATCGAGGACAATAGTCAGGCACGTTTCCTTTATGCGTTTGCAGAAGTTCCGGAGAAATCAGTGTCAAAGACGCATAGTATTAAAGAAAAACGCATTCAAAGTTTTGCGTGCGGTCAGCTATCGTTCGGATGACATTGCGTTCTTCAAATCCACATAACTCGAGCAAATTTTCAACTTTCACCTCGATTCTGCTTGTTCCTCATCCTTTACACTGTCAGAATACGTGTGAAAAAATTCCATTTTTCATCCTGAAAAACAGATCATCCCCCGGTTAGACGAAATGTTATGAATTCGAGCAACGCAAAACAACGCGTCCAATCTATATTGTAATATTTATTAGAGGAACGGATCGTTTGATTATATCTTCCATTCGTTGTTCGAGGCGGGAAGTTTGCTCATCTTTGTTCGAAAACAAATTGCAGCTCCGAATACGAAACGAAGCCGGGGACGCGCTGCAAGGCGAAACATAATCTGACTGTATAATTCAGTAATTTTTTATTCGACGAACAACGGGATCGGGATTTGTTCAACTTTTATTAGTTGCTCCGAGATTTGTTGCCCGTACCGAGAATTTCGTGCCGTTCCTGATTGAAGACAAAGGGAACTTCGGATACGAAATTAAGTCGACGGGACAAAGCGGACGCGCTGCTACGCGGAATAAGAAAGATTAGTCGAGCGGCGTTAATGCGAAATGAGGGACAACGGGCGCGATTTACTCAGATTCTACGTCATTGTCGGTACGACGGTTTTAGATCTGGCAACGAACTCGCTTTGAACGGAGAAACGAGCGGGACGTAAAATCCGTCCGAACGCCGCTCGTGATTCGAACTTCCGATTAACGATAATCGCGTTATGTTCTCGCGGTGATCGATACTCCCATCAGCCGCTCCAAACTCGCCACGATCAAACGTCTTTGGATCCCCTAAAAAATTACTCGAACAAAAGCATCGAGCAACGAATCAAAATAAACAGATGCAAGTCCTCCTCGAAAGTTGCAATTTGAAACGATAGAGCAAGGAGGATTCAAGCGCGTGAAAATACAAAAGAAACATCGAGTTTTTTTTAGCGGATGCGACAAAATGCTTTTTTTTACATTGGCAGCGGGGAGGAACTTTTCCATTCAGGTTGATCGAGAATAACACGTGGTCCCTGGGACCTCCGCTGAATAAATATTTGTTCGATCGAAGGCGGTTCGTGGCGGCTGACCACCAGAATCGTCGGAGGATCTCAATAATAACTCTGTAGTCGGGATTCGGATCGAGTAATCCAATACTCCGTGTCGCGGGTTGAACGTTTCAAAATTTTAGTATCCCGATGCTCCAGGTAGCGAAATGTTCAAGCGCGAAAACGTTGTGCCAAGATATTGGCGCGCGTGCCAATGATTTTCCATCGCTGTTCGAAACTGTGCCGTGGGCTCAAAAAGGTTAAGAATCGCTGGCAAGGAGGATAATTTCGGCTCGTCGACCGAACCCCCGTGCAGACGTGTCGAAGATAGACATAGTTTTGGCCGTCTCGGAGCATTAATTCTGAAACACGTGCGCGATTCGACGCCACGGATAATCCCGAGTAAATCATTCCCATCGTTATTATCATTGTCGCGCGGCGAGGGGAGACGTTGAGTTATCACGCGCATAAATTTCTGCCTTTGCACGACGATCCGTACGTTTTCCGCGAACCCCCCCCCCATAATTAACGGCGAAACAAAGAACTTGGACCAAGTTTCACTCTTCGTTGACAAAATCGCAATCGACAATCTGTAACGCGCTTTTTATCCATTCGTCGTTGTAATTTCTATATTTTACGATAGTGGATGTCCAGGAGTTTGGATTCTTCGTGCTTCGAAAATGTATTATCGTCCCAATGCAAAGAGTTACATCCGCGATTGCCCTATCTCGTCGATAAGCTAATTACGCGAAAACATCGTTCGTTGCACTGTGTTTTCGCGAGTGGAAAGAATAGCCAATTTACAGCGACTGTAATTAGATGTAAAACCAATCCTAATCTTCTGTAAAAACCAACAGTTCTGAAACACAAAGAACTACCGACACTGGAACAGCAATAGAACTTATTAAAAGTAATTAAAATATGAATAGTTTACAAATTATATCTTCGAACTGTTTCTATTAACTTCTAATGTTTGTACCATGCTCACACCTTGTACGTTTGTCTTATCTATAGTTTATTCGTCTACTCGTGCCCAGAAATCCAGATCTTAAAATATATTTCATTGTCCGTGCACTATCGTTTCTACGTTTCCTTGTTCCTTTTCCTTGTATTTTTTCTGTCATTTTCGGTCCCGAATAATCTCTGTATAACCCGTGGCTCTGTTTTAACAGATGCCCCGATGTCTCTAATGTCCCATTCCGTTTAGACATCGGCATTGCGATTAAACTTAGACCCGGCGTCTTCCCTTTGCATTTTTCTCCTAATATTTTTCTGCAGACCGTCGTGGAAAATTTTAACCGGTACGTTTACACCTTCGTCGATAGATTTTATATTTTTTTCGTTCGCCGGTTCTCGAAAACTAGTCGAAACAAAATAATCAGATCGAGATACTCGACCGAAACTCGCGCCTAAAATTTATTTTCGTGTTTACGAAGGGGATACCAAATTCGTCGGTTTCCAGAAATAATTATGGACAACGTGGGTGAGTTCTAAGTATCGCCAGCCCCCCCCCCATATAGTCCTCGACTTTGTCTTTCCGTGATAAAGTATAGTTTGATTCGATTGTAGGGCATGGCTGTTAAGTGGTTAGTTAACACTTGCTTTATTATAGCTATACTTTACGGGACAAACATAAGTGCCTATAAAATTTGCTGCTCCTGTACCAGTCAGCCTAAAA